ATATATATATATTTAGAGTAATCTTATTTAAAGTATCTTTTTTGACTTTTCTTAGAATACATCTCTTGTTAAAGGATATTTAAAATATTCTCAGTATGATACAATATCTTATAATTAATAAATTATTAAGAGAATATATTTTGGTATTAAAACTGAAATCTATAAATTTGCAATTAGATGATATAATTAAATTTTGGATATATACTTAAAATAAATTTATTAATATTTGGTTTATTCAATATATTATAAATTTTACAATGGATTATAAATTTACAATTTAATATAAATTGTATAATATAATATAATAAATATAATAGTAGTGGAAATTTAAAGATTTCAAAACTTAATAATCAGAATATTTTCTTTTATAATTTTATTATTGATTTGGAAATTATTTCCAATATCAAAAAGATATCAATTTTAATGGTTCTAAACCAAAAAAATTAAGTTTTATAGTTAATGTATTAGATTTATTTTAAATTATCAGGATCATACATTTTAATATTTTATTTAAAATATAAAATTTTTAGTAATTAAGTAAATGATCGTTATTTCTTTAATGATATAAATCATTGTTTTAGAACTGATAATTATATATATAATAATACATATATTAACTGTATGTAGAATGATAATTGTGGGATATCTTTGGAAAGTTTATTTTAAAACTAAAAAAAAAAAAGGAAAAAAAAACGCAAAATTTAACACACAAAAATGTCAATTAAAATTTATTTATTAAGATATAAATAAAAATTAAATTAAATAAAATGAAACAGAAACAAAGTGCAATATAGCTATTTCATTCTTTTATTTCATCTAATGTAAATTTCAATTACTCATAACTTTAACTGGTATTTTTGTATTTAGACCAATTTTTAATCTTCAAAATTAATTTTCCAAAAGTGTCTTATAAATATATTAATATTTTAGATGATCATTTCATTGCTATTAATTGGGATGGTTTTCCAAATTTCATTTGAATATATTAATTTTTTTATTTATTGTTAGAAGTTATTATTTACATGAATAAATAAAAAATACTTGTATTCTTCTAAATTATCTTCTAGATAAATTTCTTTAAAAATAAATAATTAAGAATTACTATCCATTTAAATTTTCAAGACATTGCAAGAATATTGAAAAATATTTCATTCCAAATAATTGAATTTTGAGAATTTTTAATGTTAAGTATATAAATATTTTCTTTTTCTTTATATTATATAATTATATACTGATTAATTTATTTTTTATATTCTTTTAATTTTTATTTAATTTAACTTTTATTGAAATATTTAATTACTTATTTCTCATTTATTCATCTGTTAAATATTTAAACTTTGCAAATATAATACTTAAAATGTTTATTCTTTGTAAATAAGGCAAAAACTTGTATGAGTCAAATTTCTGTTCTTTTAATATGCATTTCTTTTGCATATGATTAATGATGTCAGACATTTTAATCTTTTCTTTTTTCATTTTTATGAAAATAATATGTAAAATATATTTTTTTCTTCATTTTCGAAATATTGTAAGAAGTGAATCCAATATAAGCATTTCATCAATATAATGTCGGAAATTTTAGTAATTTATTAGGTTTTTAGTAATTTATTAGATTTTATTAGGAAAAATAATAATAGAATTGCTTTCTCTCTTCAATAATAATGAAATTCAGTACATAATATGTTGCTAGACAATATCAAATTTATTTTAATCAGGATCATTTGTCTAGCAAATAGAGTTCAGCGAACTGCACAATATGTATTAAATATGTATTAAATATAAAATATGTAATTATGTTATTAATTATTTCATTTTTTAAATTTCGTTTCATTTTATTTACAGAAATATCAAATTATAATAAAAAAAGTGAGAGATAAAATTAATTTGTTTTATAACAAGAAATATATGCAAAAGTATAAATTATTGCAGGCCATGAAAGTATTGTGGGCTTGCATGCGACCAGTTTTATATTTCTAAATAATGATAGTTTTTAGTTAAATATATGAATAGGATAATTATTGTACTTAAAAAATTATAATTATTTTAAATAAGAGATAAACAAATTTTTTAAAATTCATAATTTTTATTTCAGGATGGGATCTTCTACATTTTAAATACATTATTATACTGCATTATGCAATATTTCTTCTTTAGATGAGAATCATAATAAATATTATAAAATATTTTATATATATAGAAAATACATCAGAGACACTAATATAATATTAAATTTAATATAATAATATCAAATTTTTTATTAAATATTCATTTCAATTTTCATCATTATTCAAGAAAAAATATTTCACATGAAATAAAATAGAATTCAATTTTTTTTTTCAGAAAGAGTTTTAATTTTTTGTAAGTAGATACTTAGAGGATATGTGAATTTAATGTTTTTTTTAAATAAGATCATGTACATTTTAGAAAATATTTTAATGTATTTTAAAGATAAGGAAAACGAAAAGATAAATAGTAGAATAATACTTTGTATGTTTTTTGTTTTTCATTTGATAAATTATAATTTTAATTTTTAACTTCAAATTAAAATATTTACTAAACTAATGATTTTTGGATATAAATGGATTAATATTTTTGTAAAGAATATCAAATCATATCAACTAATACAATAAAAAATAATCTATTTATTTATTTAAAAAAATATTTATGATTTTCATATTTTCTATGCTTAAAAAAAAAAATAATTACTTAAAAAAAATATAATAACATAAAAATTTGTTTTTTTTTAATTTATTTAATTTTATTATTTTATATATATTTTATTATTAATATATATATATATATATATATATATTACATTAGCAATTTTTAGATAATTATGATATATAGTGAAAATATATAAAAATCTGATATTAAAATTTTTCTATTTTTGCTTTTTGCTTTCAAATAAATATAATTATTATTATTGCTTTTCATTAATAATATTGAATTTATATGCATTAATTTTTTTATACATTTCAAAATATATTTACACTAATCTCACATATTTATATTTTGTTACAGATACTAATATATGAAATAAACATATAATGCCAAGATTAAAAAATAAAAGTAATAAATATCCAACAAAATTAAAATTAAAATATAAGTATTATATTTATTTAATAATAATATATTTATTTATATTATAAATATCATATAATCATCTATGAATATGTTACATAATATGTACAATATATTAATAATGAGCTTTTTATTTGCAGAATAAATTACATTATTTAATGTAATTTATTATTGAATCTAACCACAAGTATTTGATATAATCATATTTTCATTTTCTATATTTATAGTATATAAAAATTATCTTTTTTTAACAATTAATATCATTATATTACTACATATTTCATTAATACTAATATATTTTTTTTTTCATGTTCATCAAATCGCAAGGATGTGAAACAGAAAATCATTTGGACTATGAGTATACATAATTTTTTTTAAATTAATAATTATTCAAAAAAAGATTTTGAGGAAAAACATAAAATTGAAGAATTAATTAAAAAATTAAAATAAAACCTCTTGCAGTCAAGATCAATCAGATCAAATTAAAAATTGTAATCTTAATTTTAATCTAATTGTAATACTTGTACATTTTAATAGGAAAAATAATTATTTATAAATAATATTTTATATATCTTATTTCAAAAAATATTTATAAATCAAAATAAATAATATTAATTTTATCATTGAAAGAACAAAATTATAATGATGTCCATTACAAGATTTGTTTTGTATTCATAATTTATATCTAATTCAATCAATATCAATCTATAATAATTCAATATATAATATAAAATTATAATATTTATAATTTTAAAATTTATTTTGTATTTATCGTTAAAATTAGCATTAATTTATGATTACAATATATGTTTTGTATTTGGCATTAAAAAAATATCAGATTATATATCAAGGTTTTTAATACAAATTTGATAAACTTGTATAATATATGCAAAGTTGATATTAGATTTGACACCAAAATCAATGTGTAATGACAACATACATAAATATATTTTGTAGCCATATTTCAAATTATAGAGACTTAATGCCAATTTAATATGAAATTATTTAGTGGGATTTTACATATAGTAGTATAAAACATATAAAACATAAGTATAAAATTTTATTTAAAAAAATCATTCATTAAATTTTTGTTAGCCTATTAAAATTGATATGATGAATATTTTAGATATAGCATTTATATAAATAAAATATAAATACAGATGAATTATTATGAATTTTTAACTAATTTTTAAATATTAATTTTTATATACTTTATTTTTATTATGATAAATTGTTATTTATAAAATTCATCACATGATTATAACTATGATTTGTTAAATCATAAAAAGTTTGTATATTCAAATAATAAATTAAGCATATAAAAATTTATATTTGATATTGATTATAATATATTAACTTAAAAAAAATTATCTTTTTAAATTTTAAATATGAATTTCATAATAAATTTTTGACATAAATTTTTTTATTAATACGATAATTTTAATTATTTTTTCATATGATTGATCAATTATTTTTTTGTTTTATCTCATATAATCAAAAATATGATAAATAAAAATTTGTTTGGTAAGTTTATATTTTATAAATTTTATTTATTTGTTGATGAATTATTTTTAAAAATCGATCTAAAATTTGATTTTATTATTATATATTATTAATAAGTATATGCATAAATTATATCATAAATATTAAATGTTATAAATAATACTTGTCATATTATATTATAATATTAATAATATTTATATAATCTTAATTAAAAATATTTTTAAATTAACAATCTTTATTAGAAAAAAATATTTAAACATTAAAAATTTATTAAAATTTAAACATATATATATATATATATATCTATATATATATTTAAAATTTATTTATGGATAAGAATATTTGAATTAAAATTTTTTATTGATCTAATACTTTACAAGATTAAAATAACCTAGTCCATAATACTATATGAATTATGAATAACACTTTACACAATGATTTATAATAAAACTAAATAAACATTACGTCTGAATTTATATAATTTTAGTAAAATAATTAATATTAATAAAAATGATACAAAATGAAATAGTATGTATATAACATCTGATATTTATTTTAAAATTATATAAAAATATTATACGAGAAGTTGGTAAACCTGCGTAGCAAGCAAAAACCACATGGAAAAGGTGAAAGTATTAAGAGACAGAAGACGACAGATCAGAAGCGCCACAAAACGGAGATGCGGACATTTTACAAAACACTCGGCATGGATCGAGCTCCATGTTCGCCCGTGAAAGTGATGCGGTATCTCCGCGATTAGGGGATACAAATCTCGTGTTCAGTGTAAGGACGTTGAACAGTTTATATACGTTATTTTGTGAATCGACATTTGCAATTGTTTGTTTCAAAGGTGACAAGGTTAGTTTAAGGGTGTGTAATCTTAATACGTGTCAGAAAGTAGCGTGGCGAAACGATTTTTGGTCTCGTTTCAGTGCACGAGGAAATCCTTATAAAAACCGATCGCGACATCACAAAATAATAAAGTTTTGTCGAAGAAAGATATCGAAAATAAGAACGGAAAAGACAGTATTAAGAACAAAGGCGAAAATAATAACATTAAAAGTGGTAGTGGCGGCAGCGATAGTGACGGTAACGGCAGCAGTGGCGCAAAGTGTGAGGACGAGGTGAATGCACGGCGGCCGCGGTGTGTGCCAGTGGTGTGCGCGCTCGTCGCTCGTGGAAACCCGCCAAAACCCGCGGCCGCGAACAACCACCAGCAAGAGCAGCAACAATAGCAACAACAACAGTAGTAGAAGGAAAAGAAGGAGGAGGAGAAGGAGGAGAAGGAGGAGAAGGTGGAACAGCGTTAGCAGTAGTAGTAGTAGTAGTGGTAGCAGCAGCAGCAGCAGAAGCAGTGGTAGCACGCGACGTTGTGCTGTTTTGACAACTTTCCGCCGCGTCGGGGCGTCGCGCCGTTTTTCTCGCGGCGGCGGCGGCAACGGCAGAAACGACAACAGCAATAAGACAGTGACAACAACAACTTATTTAAAAAAGGTCGATTGTAACGGCAATTACGACTGCTACTGTCTCTCCAGCCCATACGACGTCGACGGTGGTGGCGACTGCGTTCTGTTATTATTTTGCCACGGTGCTTTTGACCCTACAAACCGGACGAGTTCATTGCAGCGCTTTCGCGGGGGTGTCAGCCAGTTTTATTACTCCGACCTTCTCCGTCCGCAGCAGCAGCGCCGACGGCGCCAGAACACGACGTGGTATATGCAGCAGCACGTCTAACTACAGGGTGATTCTCCCGCTAGTTAACTCAAAGGTTGTGAGGCTGATTACACTCTTATTTTTATTTTACATATATATATATACATATATATATGTGTATATGTATATATATATATATATATATATATATATATATATATATATACAC